TGGTCACAAGTGGTGTTCCCCAGGGCTCAGTCTTGGGGCCAGTTCTGTTTAATATCTTAATCAGTGATCTGGACAAGGGGATTGAGTGCACCCTCAGTAAGTTTGCAGGTGACACTAAGTGGGGGGGGAGCATTGATCTCTTTGAAGGCAGGAAGGCTCTACAGGGGTGTCGACAGGCTGGATCAATGGACCAAAACCAGTTGTATGAGATTCAACAAGGCTCAGTATCGAGTCCTGCTCTTGGGTCATAACAACCCTATGCAGCACTACAGGCTTGGGGAAGAGCAGCTGGAAAGCTGCCTGGTGGAGGAGGACCTGGGAATCTTGATCAACAGCCAGCTGAATAATAAGTTGGCAGTGTGCTCAGGTGGCCAAGAAGGCCAATGGCATCCTGGCCTTTATCAGTAATAGTGTGGCCAACAGGACTAGGGAAGTGATCGTTCCCCTTGGCACTGGTGAGGCTGCACCTCAAATACTGTGTCCAGTTTTGGGTCCCTCACGACAAGAAAGACGTTTAAGTACTGAAGCATGTCCAAAAAAGAAGAACAAAGCTGGTGAAGGTTCTAAAGCACAGGTCTTATGGGGAGGGGCTGAGGGAACTGGGGTTGTTTAGTCTGGAGGAGGCTGAGGGGAGACCTTATCGCTCTCTACAACTACCTGAAAGGGTGTTGTAGTGAGGCAGGTGTCGATCTCTTTTCCCAAGTAACAAGTGATATGACAAGAGGAAATGGCCGCAAGTTGCACCAGGAGAGGTTTAGATTGGATATTGGGAAAAATTTCTTCACCGAAAGGGTTATGAAGCACTGGAACAGGCTGGCCAGGGGCATGGTTGAGGCACCATCCCTGGAGTGTGGATGTGGCACTTAGGGACATGGTTTAGTGGTGGACTTGGCAGTGTTAGGTTAACGGTTGGACTCTGTGATCTTAAGGGTCTTGTTCAACCTAAATGAACCTGTGCTTCTTTCTAGCATAAACTATTGCTGAGATATTTGAAGGAAGTAAGGAAAATCCAAAGGAATGAGCTACATACTAGGTACACCTGTGTGCAGTGATGAGAAACTAGAAGTCTGTGTTAGATACTTTTCATGGAATCTCTTAGTCATTTGAGATTATCTGTAACTAGATAGATTGATCATCCAACAGGAACTCAGATGCTGAGAACATACTATTATACTATACTGTTTTTCTAATGCCCAGAGTGCTGGCACTGAATGGCCATTGCTTAGACATGAAGAGTCATAGATGAACAACTACCTTTCTGGGGCTGAGCTTGAGACACAGAATAGCTTCAAATAGTTCATTCTGTTTCTGATGCAGATGTCTTTGACAGTGTAAAACCACACTTGGTTTGTCCAATTGACAATTTGGGCATGGGTTTCTAAATGGGTCTTAACTTTCTCACATATTAATTTAATATTATTAATTTCCTGTATTAACTAGAGAGATTGTTCTGGTGAACCTAGACCAAATAGCATGAATTCCTCAATGCTTCTTAGTTGTTACAAAATGTTGCCATGCATCTTGTCTGCTTCAGGAGGTATGATGAACCCATTGATCCTGGTTTCGATATTTCATGCTGACTTGCATAGTATATCAAATAAAATTTCAGATAACAGTTCTTTTCTCAAACTCTTTGTTTTCTGTGCCATAAAGAAACATCTACAATTCTAAAAATAAAGATGCCACTGAACCACTTATGTGTGAGAGAGAATTTTCATACTTTGGCTGAAGAATATGGGAAGAGTCTAGATCTATAACAAACCACTTGATATAAGGTATACTTTTCTCCCATTAACTTTCTGTGGAAACAACCTATGTCTGTTAAGAATGAATCATCTTCCTGAGGGGCAGGGGTAAGACTCGGATAGAGAGCAAACCTGTGAGATGCTAAATGTAGCTTAAATCTTTTACTGGAAAGGTGTTCTGGGTATTACATTGAAATGTGGTCTGAGAATCATACAGAGAAAATACTGGGAAAAGGACTTAAATATTGCATATTCTGGTTTTTACAATTAGGGAGGCTTGAATTTTGCAGGTAACCATTTTTACCACTACATAACTTTCTGTCTTTGGAGCGGATGCATGAAATAGAGATTGGTAGGTGGCTCTGTAATTAAATATCTATCATAATATATATGGTAAGCAAATTGAAAATTGTAATCAGTGTTAACTTTGGCATTTGAGTGCTTCACTTGGCAACCTTGACAGGTGGTCTTTCTAGGGCATGGTTATGCGTCATTTTGTAAACACATGATAGTTGTTTCAGAACCTGTGGATTTATTGCTTAGATCCACCTCTAACTGAAATCAGAAGTAGAAGGATATTACTTTGTTAGTGAGCTTTTAGGAATTACTTGAAAGCTAAGAAAGAGGCATGGAAATAATTAGACACTAATCTTGTGTCTGTCCAGTGTTCCTTCACTGGATTATCATTTTAATCTCCCTGTCTCTTCCACAGCTCCTTATGATGGGTTTTGTGGATATGTATGTTGTGAGCTTGTGTGTCCACTTCAGTTTGAATTTATCTTTGAGGGGTAAATAAAGTTTGTCTCATCAGCTGAGTACGTACTATGTACATTCAGCAATGCAGGGTTGCCCTGAGAATCCCTGCTGTAGATTTGTTTTCAGCGTTAGTGCCCTCTGTCTGTGAGGAAGAGGAATTGGAGACAGAGTTCTTTTAAAGTATTAGTTAGATGATCGTTTAGGATACATAAATTCCCCCTATTTGATTGATAAAACTCCCTGCATGGCCTGAAATCACGGGTGGATTAAGCAATCTAAATTTACTGAGACAGAGCTAAACTTGAACAGCTTCTCACATGCAGAACAGAATGGATGTGTTCCTGTAATAAAGATTTGTTCTCTTAAAATAGTATTCTGTAGTCTTACTGTGTTATACTGCTTTATAAAATAGTTACAAAAATATCCTTTCTGGGAAAAAAAAAAGGCAAACTTTTATTATCTTCTCAGAAATGCCCAAATGTGCCTGGTGAAATGAGCCCTACATGTCGATAACCAGTACAGGGAATTTCAGTGTCTGTTAATTCTGCCTCCAAGTTGAGTGTGTTCTGTGTATAACATTAATCAACTTAGAACACCTCAATATCGAATGGTATACTGTGGTTAAATAGTAACATTTTATTGAGCGTATTCCTCTGATTCAGCAAAAGTAACTCATTTGTCTGCTGGTTTTGGCTAGGCTTTGGCTAAACCTCCACCAGTGAGGAACTTGTTCACTTGGATTATCAGGATTATCTTCCATCTGCGGTTTCTTTGCAAGAAGCTCTCTCAGGTCTGTGTCCCTTCTGTGAGGGGTAGTTTAGTTAAAATGAGACAATAGAATATATAAATTCTCTTAAGCAGGTGCACATGAACTGCGCTATGTGGCAACACATTGAAAGTGAGCAAATGAGGGAGGGCACCCCTGTGAGCCCCTCTGTGCTGTGGACACCCTCTCTTCCCCTAGGAGACCTTGGTACCATGTGTGACATGGGATGCTCTGATGTACGAAGTGAATGGGAACACTGGTATGAATTTGTATGTTAAATGTTAGTAAAGCTTAATTTCTTGGTCTTTTTTTATATAAACTAAATATAAATGGAACTTCTAGGAGTGCCTCCACACACCCCAGGAGATATTATTGCTCACTCCTGGGGTTCATGCACCCCACATTGGAGCCCATAGGCTGAGAAAACTGAAGTGAGGCACAATCTGCATGTCCTTTGCAGGAGACCACTTTACAAGGCCAAAAGTTTTCAACACTTTGCTCCATACAAGTGATGTCCCCAGCTCTGGCGTAGCATTTTTAACAGTAATTATTGTATTGTGTACGTTTTGTTTGTTTCCACCTCTGAACCTTACTTGAACTCATGTTCCCACCTTGGTTTGCTTCTATATGACTTTGTGCAATCTTGGAAAGCTCTAGAATTAGATGAACGATCTGGGATTTCTTAGAATCTGAGCTTGATTGTTAGAAGAAATAACATAATTGTGGATCAGTTGCTCCTGCTTGGACTAGTGAAAAACTCAGTCTGGGATTCAGCTGTAAAAACAGTACAGGACAACTGGAAAGGGTTTCTTATGGAGACAGTTTATTCCCAGATTTCTGACACTATCAGCTGGGTACCTAGTGTGTCTACCCGACCTAATGTAATGGGCAGTGGGATCCCAGCCCACCACCCGCAGTGGCAGGGTTTCGGCTGCAGGTGCAAGCTGGGCAGTGGGGGGCAGCTGGGATTTGGATGTGTGGTGGCCCTGACATGGCCAGAGCAGAGGCTGCTGCCAGCATGGACAACCATGGGAAACCATGGGAAGGAAGGCAGGGCAGCCCCGGGGGCCTGCAGAGCTGCTGTGCCTGGCTGCAGGGGTGGAAAGGCAGGAAGCCCCAGCAAGGTGTGCAAGGTGTCCAGTTGTTTATGGGAGGTATGCTGTGGCTTGGTGAAGGAGCATGTGCAGCAGAAGCAGCCTGCTGGAGTCCAGGCGGGGCTTGGCTGTGCTGTGGTGGTAGAAGGGAGGGAGCATGAGGCTGCCCTCCCAGGCTGCACATCTGGGCTTCTTGTGAGGCAGTTTTCCTTCAAAATCGAGCCTGGTGAAAATGCAGCTGTTGCTCTCCTCTTGCAGTTAGCTCTTTCTTTGCACCTTCTGAGCAGGGGGGATCATCTCTTGAGGTTGTAGTGGAAGAGTAACTAAAGTACACAAAAGAAGAGTTAGTTGCCAGCCTTTGGAGATGGGAGAACACCAAGATATAGGAGAGCTGAGCCTTGTAATGGCAAAAGACCAGCATGGGTCTCAAAAAGGGCTAGTGGGCATTTGAAACCTAAATCTTAGGCTGACCAAAAGGTTATGCCACAATTCTGTTAAGTAAAGTCCACCCTTGTGTTTTGACCTGAGAAAGAAATGAATCCCAGAGCATTTTCTCTCCTCTTCCTCTTGACCTCCATTGCCAAGCCTTATGTTACTGAAAGGTGAAGGTCTCATGCTGGAATCGTTCTGAGAGTCAGATCATGTGCAGCAGAAGTGATGTACCTTGCTGTAAGCAGGAGGTGCTGCTGCTTCTTCTCTCAGAAACTGATCAAGCAAGTCAGATGTTTCAGGGTTGCATTGCACTTGGCTGAATCTGTAGAGATTGAGCTGATGAAGGAAACTTTTCATACTGTCTCCTTCAAAAATTCTGCGAGGCTGTCTCTGTGCCAGCACTTCTTTTTGGAAGGCTTGTTCTTTGATGAAGAACACAACACGGGTGCCATCATCAACCCACTGAATTGACGGAAACTGGTGGCTTTGGACAATTCTCCAGAATTTCTTTGGAAAGGTGAGGGATACAAAGTCATTATCTTCACCAGAGCTCTCCTCCAAAGAAACAGGATGGACTCTGTTGGTCCTGCGGTCATTGCTGCATGCTTGGAAAGGCTTTTCTTCCTTGATGGATGCTAGATCAGCATCACAATGTGCTCTTTTGACCCATCCTGGAGTGGCAGAGGAAGTTGAGTCTGCTGACTCAACGAGCTCGTTAGGAGGAGAAGCAGGCGATATTTCTCCTGGAGACAGCTCCCTTGGAAACTCTCCTGTCAGGGTTAGAGCAAAGTGATGCCTAGCTGTAGGCATTTCCCTGGGCAGCTGAGGTTGGTTCTGCCAGATAACAAGCAATAACAAACTGACACCAGCTGGCTGCGGGTGCTGAGGGGAAGTTCTCAAACATCACTGTGCCTGTGCTGCATGGCGGTGACATCACAGCCTGGCACCCGTATCCTGGCGTGCTGCAGCAGCAAGAGAGGAAGCTGTTGAACAGCACTTGTTGTCATTTCCAGAGCTGCAGGTGTTTGGACTCAAGAGCTGAGCAGTAAATCCAACTGTCTTGAACCGTTGTAGGCAATGCCAGGGCAGCACTGTGTCCTGTTGGCTGAGGAGCTGGCAGCCAGGGAGGAAGAGGCAAAGCTGCAGCGTTGGGCATCAAAGTGCCCCATTGTGGAGGTTATGCAGTTGGGCACCTCTCCCACACACGCAAATGTTCTTGCCTCTTTGCTGTAGTGTTGGCTTTGGAGCTCCCACCTGGGAGCCTGCTTGAGCAAGAGTTGTGATGGGCAGGGTTGGGGCTGCAGCCAGTGCCCGGCCTGCTGGGTTTGTGAGGTGTCTCCTCTGCTGAACATTACTTGGCCTTCATTATGTGATGCCCTGAATAGCTGCCTTCAGGCCTCCTGTGTTTCCCTCTGGGTTCTCCAGCTGTGTGTAGAAATGCATTTCCCGAACAACATGGGCCAAGGGAGATCAAAATCTCTCCCCAGTTCCTCCCTGTTTCTTCTCTAACCTAAGATGGGCTCTGTGATTTCAGTAGCACTCCTTCTGTCCTGGGCAGTCCCTGTACCCAGGTGGTGCTCCCAGATTTCATCAGTCTCTGTGTGGGTGCTCTGTAAGTGCAACTTGAAGTGAGAGACTAAGCACATTTTGCAAATGGTACAAATGGGAGATACTAAAAAAACCCAAAAAACCACAAAACATTTATTTGACTTGGTTCTACTTTTTTTTATTTTATATTTAGATTTCAGGAAACAGAACAAAGTCGATAACTTTCTCTCAACCTTCTGAGTAAACACCCTCTCTACTGGATCAAGTGTATTTTCTGTAAAAGACAGGTTTGATGTAAGAACCAGGGGAAATCAGCACTTCTGTTCCCTTTAGCAATTGGATCAGTCCCTCGGAGATTTATGAAACTCTGGCCTAAATATTTGGGCAATAAAGATGAGGACAACTAAGCCTTGGACCCTCTGAGCAGAGGTAACTGATGGGAGTTTAGGACAAGTAAGGAGAATCTCCTCCAAGTGCCAGAGTGTACCTGAAGACCTGACAGGCAGATGCAAGTCACAGTCCGCTGGGCTTTGCATTTACCCTGCAGTGCTTTTCAACTCAGTAGGATGGAAAAGAAGGGCTGTGTCTGTGGGCTGAGAAAGCATGGTGGCCAAGCCAAGAGGAGACCGCTAGGGTCAGGTTTGTACCAGGTACTGCAACAGTAGTTGGTACAAGAACTGTATAAAAATAATAGCCACTACTGGGAACTAGTACAGGTGATTGCCTGATGTATTGGCTTTACTGAAGTTTTCCATGCAAAGGTGACTGTCTAGAAGGAGTATTGAAGAACAAGTCTTTGGGCATGGTCTGGGATAACATGTCTGCTCTGGTCCATCTTTCCTGAAAACTTGGAAATCCTTTTCATTCTTTATAGATGCTAAGCATCATAAGTTGCTCTTTTGCATCATCCTGCAAGGACAGGAGAAGTTGAGTCTACAACTTCAATGAGCTCATCTGGAGCAGAAGCAGATGATGATCCTGTGCTTCTCACCAGCAGGCTCAGGCTGCAGCCCTGCTTGTCACTCAGAGTAACTGGTGGTTGTGCAAGCCTGCCCAGAAATTGGAGATCTCTGGGGAATTAGACTTAGAAGGTCAAAGGCTTTCAAAAGAATGATGGTTCTATAAATTAAGTGGACCTTTTTTTCTGAGAACTATGAGGAGTCTGTGTCCTGCTGACAGAAAATGTTCTCCAGCTGCTGCAACTGCAAGACTGAGTCTGCAATCCAAACAGAAACACTACAGCCTACCTGTGCTGACATCTCTACCCAGTCAGACCTCCCAACAACAGAAATAGCTGTCTGAACCTGTGGCTGGGTGGAGGACCAGCATCTGGAAGTCCCTGTAGCACCTGAAGGCAGAAGTGGATGTCATAGCTGGGGAGTATGCCCAGCTAGAACTTTTCAAACAAGAAGCTAAGTTACCGGAAGAGTTCA